AGTGCAAAAGTTCTATCAGTAAAAAATGTGGTCCCTTTTTACAGATTCGGTCACAAATGGATACCAAGAGTGCTGTGTCTTTGATACTCACATAGTAAAATAATAAAAACAAACTATACATCAGGAAGAAAGAAATTCACTGAACAGGACTAATAAAGAAACAAATTAACATACCAGCTGAGTTATAGGAAAATTGTAATAAATGTTCATAGATGATCCCGTGCAAACGGACACCCAGTTCTTCCAAAACATTTTCTCCGTTTTTTCCATCAATGCAAGATTTGATCTGTTTCATGCATGAATTCAAATATTGGACCACAGTTCTACATGCCTGGAAAAAATAAATTAAAGAGTGAACAAATTTTTTTGGAAAAGGTACCGGCTATCTCTCAATATGAAAGTTACTGACACATCTTGATTTTCAAATAGATAAGATTTACCCATGAGGGGAGATAATAGACCCGCTGCTGATTTTTTTCCACAGTATGTTCGGACAAATTCATTAACGCAATAGAATGGAAAATCCTGAACCTGAAACTTAAGTTGCTGAGGGTGGGCACAAACCTGAGACACCTCATTCTCTAGTGTTGCCGCAAATGCTCCCAGGTTCTGAAGGACATTGAGAGCACTTTGATGCAAAAGTGGTATTGAAGGCTACTTAAGCAAAGCCACCCACCTTAGGACACAATTGGCTACTGAAAGTACAAATTTTGGGAATTTTTCCCACACTTACTTTGACTATTTGCAGAAAAAAACCTTTGGTTACTGAATATGCCAAATTAGTCTTTCAAAATGAGAACGAGTTGAGGCAGTTGATCAGCAAATCCTCATGTCTGGTTGATTCATCTCCAATCCAAAAATTAAAAATTGGAATTGACACAAAACTTAAGGGCAAGTTATTAGGCAAAGTCAATTTTTGTAACTAAATAAAAATTTTCTCTTCCTGACGCACACATCTAAAAACTATGTACCAGATAATGCTCTTTTTTCATGCCACAGAGCAGGAACCATTTTAACCGAGCAAATCACCTTCAAGAGTGAAAATAAAAGAGAGAAACTTGCTCAAGATGAGAAAAAAAGAACTACCTGCAGGGTATGCAGGAAAAAAAATAAAATAAAAAATTATACAAAATTCTTAGGTATCACTTTCGGCAAGGAGTATGAGTTACATAGAATATTCAGAATTCAAATATTCATCTCTTTTGTCCGCAGAGGAAAAATTTCAATCTTTTTCACTAACAGGAGGTTAAAAGGAATATAAAGAGAGAGAAACCACCAGTCAACAGTAAATGAGTTCTTACATGCGATGCTAGGATATCCACATCTCCTTCCGGCTTGAAATCTGTTTTCTTCTGCTCGTTTTGCAAATAGATTTTTATCCAACCAACAATTGCATTGATTGACCTGTAACAAATACAGAAAGTAAAATTTCACATGATAAAATTCAAAAAAGTTTCACTGTTTATTGTCATTTCTACATGTCATTTGTTTTCATTATTAATGCATTTTCTATTTTTTAGGTACCAAAAAATGAAAGTATTGTGCGTATACTAAGGGCAAAACAACGTCCACTCCAGGATCTGCTGGTTCTTGAAAATTGAACAAAATTGCAAAAAATAATCTAAAAATGAGGAACAATACAAAGAAATACGTCCCGATGAAAAATCCATCAAAACAAAAAGAAAAACAGAATTTTTCATTGCGATTTAAATGTCTCAACATGCTTGATTGTGTAATTTGTCAAGGCAGATGCAACAAAGAGCTTTGACAAAATACTTATATGAAAGAGAAAATACAGAGAATCAAAATCAAAGAAATTGAATAAAAAATATGAAATCGAGTAGCTCACCTATCCAATCCTACATAAAGTTTGGCTTCCAATTGTTCTAATAAATACTTTTTCTTGACAAAACAATCATTGTGTTTGGTTGGGTATGTGAGTGGTATTAGACAGCTGTTGAACTGCCTCTCTACAAGGTGGACCATGCTTGAAACTTGCTTTACAATTTTGAAAAAGTTTACTACTGGCGGAGATGAGTTTTGCTGTGGAATAGGAATCGCTTGAACGGCAAGTTCTAACGCATAGTGTAAATGTTGCTCGACTAAAAACTGCGAGCTCACTTCAAAAATATGAAGGGCATTGGCGGCAACTTCTTGGGGTAGAGAGAGCTGAAAACAAATAAAGGGCCGTTACTTTTCTGAATCATGGAATGTAAAACATATTTTTCGGTTGAGAATAAATCATTAGACAGGACAGGCATTACAATACCACAAGACATGTGTATCACCTTATTACAATTTCTTGCAAAATAAATTGACGATTTCAAAAACTCTCAAGATCAAATCATACCTCAGAAATTGGTGGAAATATTCTAGATAATATGCGTCTATTCAAATATTCTGCTTATAAAGAGACCAAAATAAACATAAGTCAAATCTGCCTCTGAAAACAAACTTATGTGCTATCAAGAAATACCTTGACATTGATTTTCTAAAATGGACCACTAAACAAGGAACGAAGTTAAGCATTCTTATATTTGCTTCTAAATCAAAATTTTATGTGGAGCACAATTCGCACAACAGAAATTACTGAAATTAACTCCCGACCAAAACATTTAATGTTTCTTGACGCGTGAATTCAAACCTCTCACTCACAGTGTTCCAACCCCACGAGCGCCATGTCGCCAAATGCTCCTAAAAAATCGGCCATGGCCCCTAAAAAATGAAGACCCTGCGCCATACGTGGCCCCTAAAAAATTGTCGCAATCCTAAATTACGGTTTGATGATTTCAAGATTTTTGTCAGTCAGCCTGGACTGAACGTGCATAGCAAGCAGTTGCGCGCAGAACTTCATCGCGGCAGCGGCTCAGCAGATCGAGAATCGTACTACTTATCGTACATACTATAGAATCGTTCCACTACTTTTCATAATAGGAAGTCAGAAAAAGTATTATTTAATTGAACAAACTTTAAGTAAACTAAAAGCTCCTTGTTTTAAATCGGAATATCATTCCTTTGGCCTTTCCCTTTCCCAAGTAATGGCTGCGAGCTGCAACTTGCAAGTCCTGTAACTGTATATCTTGCGTATAACTTTTCACTAAATGCGCCGTAATATATAGGCAAAAATTCAATTTGGCCCCTAAAAAATCTTCAATGGCCCCTAAAAATTGAACTTGATGGGCCAATCGGCTCCTAAAACTTGGAGGTGAAGTTGGAACACTGCTCACTCATGAATATGCAATGGTCCACAAGAGTCAAATTGCACATTAAACATTACCGCCGCAGTCTCTGCAATACGAAAAAATATGGCAGCCTCAATCTTAACGCTTCAGCTCATCTACAGCAATTTTTTTACACTTAGAACAATAGAGGGTGGGAAAGGAATGATGCTCGATTGAGAGGCCTGCCAAAACCGTTATAAGGCGCGATTTGACTGGAGTAGAGTATTGCGTTTCTTATGACCAGGCAATTCAAAGTAGAAAAAAAACGTTAATATCTCAGTTAAGAGTTGTTTCAGTAATTTTCGATACAAGAATTGTGTTTGACGTTGTTATCTGGTAAAGAAAAATGTATCAGAATGATTAAATTTGCATCTTGTCTAGTG